CCCCCACAAGAAAGGACTTGAAACTCTCCTCCGTCTCCCGCACCCTCGGGCCGATTCCTCGGCGAGAAAAATCTTAAGGCAATCTTTTCCTGAACAATCGTGAAATCCAGCGGACCCTCACCAAGGCACTCCTCTAACTCGTCAACCTTCAACAACAGGCTGGTCCGGCGAGGCGACGGAGTCTCACCGTTAAAATCTTTGTAAAAGCCTACTCAAACTTCGGCCCAACCAAAGTCCACAGTGAACACATTTAGTAAAATTATCTTCTCGGTTGCCACGATGCCCCCCCCTCACCCATTTCTTTAGGGAGGGAAAATAGTCAAGAAAAAAAGAAAACAAATCCCCGAGCTTGCCTCTTGACAGCTGGGGACGTCTGCTGTCCCCGGTGTCCGTACTGGATGTGGTCAGAGGGCAGCCGCGTAAAGCACCGTATTTTTCTGCACAGAAGTGTCATCGCACCTTTCGGTGACGAGATCTGATCTCGCCCCGGCCTTCTCCACCCTCCCGATCGCACCGCTCCAAATACGCTCGCCCGCTGCCGTGATCACTTGGTCAGCCGCCGAGGGCTAACATGGGGGTGCGAAGACTGACAGATAAAACGTCTCTGAGCGAGCGCTTGCCGGTATGTTTAAATAAGTTTTTTCCAGTTCAGTCCTCCTCTGTCTTCTGATTGGCTCCCTACTCTTGAGGCTGAGCCCACCCCCTCTCCCTCGTTTTTTTTGGCCGAGGGGCCGCCAATCAAGGTGACTGACGTGGTGAGTGGGGTCATTGGGGACTAAATGAAGGGATCAGTCGAGACTCTTTGCTGCTCAAAGAGGCGTTCTCCGGAGAGGTCAATGGTAACGCGGTGACACCCTCACGTTTTCGTCCACTACAGCGGCTCCTCCTCTTCCATGGGCTCCTCCTCAGACCTGCTGAGGAGATATAACACAGAAATATTAACACTAGACCTCAGGCTGTCATTAACAAAACGCATCCTCAACTTTACCAGCACCATCGAGGATTGAAAGAATGGGAATCCAGTGTGGAAAGATAAAACTGCAATTCTTCTAGCGGCCACTTGGGGCTTGCTCCAAAAGTGAGTCAATCCCATTGACTCTCATGTTAAAATGCCTCTACAACAGCTGACAACAAAAACAGTTTTGGTCTCGATAGCTTATTTGCTATTTCATACGGAGCCCCAAAAGTTTTGCGAGATCCCCAGTTTGTTTTGCGAGATCTCGCAAAAGTCCGTCTTAATTTTTTTTTCTCCCATGTCCCCTGCGGGGCTCCGTAATTTCATGACACCTACACAGAGGGTCTTTTTTATTGATATAGAGGCATTTAAAGGTTTTTAAGACTAAAGGCCATGACACACCAAGCACATTGCAAACTCCCCCCAACTCCCTCAAAAAACCCATGAAATTCCAAATGTTTGGATGCAAATTTGTTGTGTAACGTATGTACACACACTGACATTCGTCCTCATAGACTGCACTGTGAAAGAGAACTGAGTCAACATCAAGCAACGATGAGCAGGTTCTGATGTTTTACAGTTAAAGTTGTATCACGATCGCTTTCATGTATTTCATGATGTCAGTGAAGCAGTTTGAACTCAGAGAGCCAGTTGACCCAAAACAATGTCCAACTGTGCGTCTGATAGTTAATATTGATTGATATTATATATATATATTATTAAAATAGTATTATTTTACTATTTCCATATGATTGTATATTCAGGACGAGTGCGTTTTGAGCTGATTATGTGTTTGGTGTGTACGGCTACATTAAAAATAGGCCATAAACTTTACACATCTGGTGTGTAAAGGCCTTTAAAGTTTGCATGATTGATCGCGTCTCTGACTGACCTGAAGGTTTCGATGTGGCGGCTGTTTGCTGCACGGTATGTCAGCTAATTTAACTTTGTAAACTGGACCTCTGGACTGTGTTTGTGCCTTTTGGATCACATTTAATGCCATTTTCTGACAAATAACACACATTGCTTCTTGTAATTGCACTAATAGGCTGCACATGAAGTCTGTGCTTTATCATTCAGGACGTTACTCAGCACTTGTTAGCAGGTAGATCTACACCCATGCATCTAAATCTCTCCTTCGAGCCATTCAAACAAAGGGTAGCATCAGAAAAAAGTTCCTCTCTGCTTTCACCTTATATACTTTTATAGGAAACTGATTTATCTAGGATTACAAAATTGTGGGTACACAACTAACACTAAGTGACATCAGCATTATTTGTAAAACTACGGGCCAGGCGCTGAATATTTACTGCAATTTAACCCAAAAAAGTTTTGGACTTCCAAATCTTTGGACTGAATATCGTCACTAACTATTTATGAAAGGTCTTAAAGTTTGGACAGACCCACAGAAACAATTCTCCCTGCAGCTAGAAGAGCTTGAGTGGATAGAATTGATATTACTTCACAGTATTTTTGCAGATTTCCAGATTTCCTCTTCACCTTTTTTTCCTTCTTTTATGCAGATGATTTTAGCCATTTTAGCATCCTGGAGTCAGTTATTTAAATATTAAATGACAGTAATTTAAGACCTTAGCAAGAGTGAAAGGGAAGATTTACAAGATGCTAGTGAGGGCTGCTGTGGTCTGGAGAGGATGCCCCTGACAAAAACACAGGAAGCTGAGTTGATGCTTTCAGAACAGAGAAGATTCATGGATGTAGTAAAGGAGCACATGCAGAGGGTTGGTGTGACGGGGGAGGATGTAGGGGACAGAGTGAGATGGATCCACTACGGTACAAGAAGTAGAAAATGTTCTTGTTGTCTCTTTGTTTAGGTTGCTTTATAAATGACCTTTGACCCTAGCTAAAGACAAACAAAGTCACTATTATTTCATCTGTTATCTCTTTAAAGGCTTTAAAGTTGTAAATATAGTCCAGGGACTAGAGTTTTATAGTTTTTTAATAGTTTTATTGGAGGTTTCCATCAGGATTAAATATATTTAACAACACGTTACTCCAACTGCACAGACTTGATGTTAACGACAGAAAGTAGTGACTTTACTGTTGCCGGGTTTAAAGGTTATATAAAGAGTATAACTACTCTTAAGTCAAGACTATTGCTCTTTAAGCACTGTGTTTACTTCCTTACCTTTGCTCCATGGCATTAGAGTTGGCCACAGAGAGAGAGGCCATGGCGCTGACGGCCTCAGCCTCCTCCGAGTCTCCTCGTTTGGCTTCCAGCAAAGAAAGCCCCAGCCGCGGCGAGTAGCGCTGCACCGAGCGCCAGTACTTACCTGAGATAAAAGACAGGAGGGAGAAAAACACAAGAAACACAGAGGAAGTGAAGAAAAGTAAAGCATTAAGAGGGCTGACCTTAAATATATGAAGCTCATACACAAAAAATGAACCAGAGAGAATCTTAAAAAGTAAAAATAGATATTTTCTAATAAAAATGTTGCAGATCTTTTATTTTGTCACAGAGAAATGACATGTTGAGTATTACTCAGCCTGCCTTTCAAGTACTACTTCCATGAAGGTTAAACCCTTTACTGGTCTGGATTGTTTATGAACCTACAGATACAGATTAGGTTTCTAATAAAAACTGTCCCTGTGGGTATCGCTGTTATGAGTCTGTGCTCCTGCAACGGTGAACTCACTGTGAGTCTCCAAAACTTTCTCCAGAGAACGAACAGCGTTGGGGTTCGGCCTCTGCTCGAGGACAGCCTTGGGCAGTGGGTCCAGCTGCATGGGACAAAAACACAGAAAACACAAACATGAGTGTGCAACAGCTTCAACAGGATGACCTACAAGCCTTTTTTAATGAATCTCAGCCGCTCCAGGACAGCGACGTCTATCGACTGCCCCGGAGTTTAAGTGTGGATCAACAAATAAATACAATAATAATATAAATACAATAAATATAAATATAAAAAAAAAAAATCAAATGAATAACAATAATTATTTAAGAAAACAAACAGAAATAAATAAACCAGTAAAATATTGCTGCCCGGCCTCAGAATCCTTGATGACCCTGTGGTGACATTTGAAAATTCTATGTATAGTTTTTTATAAGCCAGTATAGCCATTTTGCTTTCTTTTGAACACTACTCTACGACTACTTTGTCTTTTCAAATATTTATCGATTGCTATTACGTACTGCGCTGTCTCGCTCACAGCATGACTATTGTGTAATTTCTTCTTCGTCTTCTGTTTTACTGGCACTTGGCAACCTATTTAATTAGAGCAGGTAGTTGTACTGCCCTCTAGTGGAAGAGACTGTAATTGTTCTGCCCGTTACTCACGCCGGTCATTCCTAATCAGGTGGAACCAGATAATCTTCCACGGCACACCTGATCATTTCTCACAGTGGTTGGGAAACTCTGTTCCAGGTGACTTTCTTCTTGAGTCATCGCACTCGTCCCTCCTTGAGCCTGCTTATTTTCGAGGTTTCTTCCTGTTAAAAGGATGTTTTTCATCCCCACTGTCACCAAAGCGCTTACTCATATATTATATTACTACAGGCTCTTTACCTTACAGCAAAACGTGCCTTGAGGCAATCTGCTGTTGGGATTTGATGCTATATAAATAAAACCTGAATTGTTGTGAGTCCACACTGCGTGCCCGGTTTTGTGACGACTTTAGTCGTTACGGCTGTAGAGTAAAATGGAGTCGACTCACACTATTAAAACTGGCTATTTTAGCTCCGCCCCTTTAAGCCAAGCTTCTTCTTATTGGCTAAAACTTGCAAACGTTTTGAGAACATACAGAGCCGAGATATATAATGCGTTTACTTAATCACTAACGTCTCCATTTCTTCTCATGTCCACTTCCAATCAGTTATCATGTGTAAGAAGGAATAAAGGAGCGTGATCTGCGTCCTGCTTCGACCGGTCTTTGTTTCTAACGTCGACCCTTTGAGACGTCCTTTTATTAGGATTCCAGCCTTGCGTGCTTTCAGAGTGACTTCCTTACCTCCTGGCCGAGCAGGGCGGCCACGCAGGCCTCGGAGGCATCACAGATGGCGGTGAGGTCGTGACCTCCCTCTAGAGCCAGGACCACACGGCCTCCGGCGAGGGTCATCAGCTGCCTCGTCAGATAACCGAAACCTGAAGAGAGTTTACAGGAAGGTGAATGCACTTAAATGTATCCACAGCTGCTGAAGTTCATTAACATTTCAGCGGTCTGTTAGACTTCAACGCTCGGTCAGCAGCGCACGCACGTGTGGAGCGGCTGGAGCGCGAGATAAGAAACACTCTACCGATAATCTCCCACTCACATTTGGATGTCAGAGTGTAGCCGCCCAGCGGGGGAGGGTGTCCCTCGACGGCGTCGAAGCCAGAAGAGACCAACACGATGTCTGGAGCAAACTCGTTGGCTATCGGCATCACCACTGACCTGCGAGTGGAAGGGCGGGGTTCAAAGATTAAACAGTGCATCAGCCAACATCTCAACATCCTCTGCACAAAGGCGACACACAAAGGAGAAGCACGCTTCAATCATTGTTGATTTCATGACAAACAGTTGCTTCATTAAAGTTTGGCAAATAATTAAAGCTTATTATTAAATGAGCATCACACAGTTCGGCTTCTCAGTTACTTTTATTTGTTTCATGAGATAAAAAGCTGAAGATATCTGCGTTTCACTTTGTAGAAGTTTCATCCATTAAGAAAGTATCATGTGATTAGTTATGGCCGTCCAAACAGAAACAACCACCTGAAGAAACATTCAGATTTGGTATCATGACAAAGGAACAGGAGCTCTCAGAGAGCTTTGTGATGCTTTTATTACAACACGCTGACGTCTGACCATTTCACTTTTGTGTATTCTCTTATCTTTACCCACATGCTTAGAGCAGAATGGGCAGAAATCTCTAAGGCGTCATTGTGACCCTGAAACAGTAAAAAGTTTGTCACAGAGCTCTCTCCACGCTCGTTCATATGATAAATATGAATCGATATGGTTTCTTGAACAGTTTTTAAGGTCAATTTTGAACTTGCTAACAATGACGATCAAAGTCAAATACTTTGCCAACCTCGTGTCCCTCAAGGCCCCGCATATTGTTGTGAAGTCTGAAGGCCAACAAACAAATGGAAGCCATTATATACGCCCTCCCTTTAAGGGAAACTTTATTTGGGAGCAGGGCTTTAAAGGCAGGGTGCTTCACTCCGAGGTTCGTCAAAAGTTAAACCGACCCCTCACATGTGCTCAAGGTTTATCTGGTACCTGAAGGCAGACAGGTATTCTGCATCTCCCATGGGCGGGTCGAGACCTCCGGTGAAGGCAACGTTAACGTTGAACCCGACTCCAGGACCACTGCCCACCTGTGGAGAGGAGCACAAACTTCAAGTGAGTGTACGACACAAATAAAAGGAAAAATGTCCTTTTTTAAGCTTTTAGCATCTTTTGGGTAATTACAGGATGCTTCTCCCTACTTCAGATTATTTCTTGCCTTTTGATCAAGAGGTCTTTAAAAAAAAAAACTACCATTAGAACATAGAGCATTAATAAAGTGATCCTTGGAAAGAGTTCAACTGGAAACTAACAAGATACACCCGGAGCCGACAGATAACATAAACTTGGAGTGCAACCAGCTTCAAGACGTGTGGACTGAAAAAACTGGCAACCAAACTAAAAACTGTCAAAAAGCTGAAGTGGACCAATTATTATCATCCTTTGCAGCTCCACAGTTTTTATTCTTGGACTCGAGTTTATGTTTAACATGATCTTTATTTATTTTATACTCTTCAGTTCAATCGCTGTGTGCAACAACTCGTTTTAGCTCGTCTCCGTTTAAGGCAACTTTTCTTCATCACACTGAGTCATAAAACAGCGTGAAGCTGACAGGGCTTAATTATACACAATTTTATCTTGTTATGTGAAGCTGGCCATATTTAATATGCGTATCCTGGCCACCAGGTCAACTGTTTATTGAGGCAACTATCTAATCAGCCAATCACGTGGCTGCAAAATCCCAGCAGATCAGGAGTCCAGCCACGTTCAACGTCACTTAAATCACCCATTCTGATCTGACTTTGAACTTCGGCAGGTTGTTTTGATCATGTCCACATGCCTGAATGCACTGAGCTGCTGCCATGTGATTGGCTGGTTACAAATCATTAGCAAGCAGTTGCACAGGTGTGCCTGATGAAGTGGCCAGTGAGTGCAAGGTAATAAAAATACAAATGGATCTTCGTCATCTATTTGCCTTAAACGTGTGGTGATTCAGTTCAAAGTGGTTCACCGTCTCCATTGGTCTAAAACTAGACTGAGCAAAATCAAGGATGGGTTTGACCCCACATGTGACCGGTGCAAACGAGAGCCTGCTTCCCTATTTCACATGTTCTGGGCATGTCCAGAACTGGGTAGCTTTTGGAAAAGCATATTTGAAACCATGTCCAACATATTTGGTGTTCCAATTGCACCCTGCCCGTTTATAGCTATTTTTGGGGTGACGCCTTGTGATGCCAGTCTTTCCAAATCACACTCTGATCTTCTGCCCTTTTGCACTCTTTTGGCCCGTAGAATGATGTTATTGAAATGGAAAGAGCCACTTCCACCTGTATATGGGCAATGGGTTAAGGATGTCATGCACTATACTCAGCTGGAAAAGATCCGCTACACTGTAAAAGGTTCGGAGGTTTTATGACACATGGCAACCTTTTCT